AGCAAATTCTCCACCATCTCTTTATGGACATACCGCAAATTTATATAAAGATCATATGATAATTACATTTGGTAAGTTGATTATAATATTTTAGTAATATTTTTCAATTATATTAATGACGTTTCATATTTTTTTTTTTAGGAATTGACTTGGATACTCGATTATATTCTTCTTCGGGACAATTGTACCTTTATAATATAAAAAGTAATAAATGGGTTACAACTTTTAGCCCACCAAAGACTACGACCACTACTTCAAAGACTACTACAAGTACCAGCAGACCTATTATAATTACTTCACCTGCAAAAAATTCATCAGCAAAAACTTTGGGACTTGGGATAGGGTTAGGTGTAGCGTTTTTGATTTCTTGTATTTTTATTACAGTGCTTATTGTTCGTAGAATTAGACAAAACAGGCAACAGGATCAACCCCGGCATTCAGCTCAAGAGATTCTTGAAATACCTGGAAGCAATCATATCCATTGATTGCGAAAATTGGCCAATTAGACTTTACACAATACCGTTAATGATTGCTTCTTAGTAATGTTTGATAAATATATAGATAGCAAACTTTTAACTACTAGTTAAAGTTGTCCTTTATTTAATTATAGTTAGACAAATTTTGATTATTAATAATAAAAAATCTACAAACGTTAATACCATACGAGGAATATGAGAATATTCAACTAAGATTTCTTTTTCACAAGTACTGACTTATTTTTCTTGTGCTCGCAAAATTGCTATTGAGTTTATAAAGTACTTTGTTAAAATTATAGAAGCTGTTCTGCATGGAAAAGTGAATTTTTTATCTCAATATTATGTTGTATTTCAGTTTTCATATATCAGATGTGCTTTTTGAAAACTGATGATTTTAACCAATACAATAGTTGTATATAACTTTATTGATAAAATATAATGAAACCTAACCTATATTGGGTATGAATAGACCTATGCATATGCATAGATTCTGAACCCTTATAGAATAAAAGTTCAATGATAGATAGATAATAAAATTACTTTATGTGATTTAAAGTTTGTTTTTTTTCGTAAATGTTTTTCTTAAAAAATATGGTCCGAAGAAGTCCAAAAAAAAATATTACATAAATTATTTATTTTTTTTCTGTCTTTTTCTGTCCTAATAATTTTTTGATTTTTTTTTAAAAAAAAATCAAAGATATAATGTAGTAATAACTGGTAGTTCAGCCAAAAAGAAGTTTAAATCAAGACAAAAACTCTGCCCAAAGTCTAAATATTTTCTTGGGAGTGTTAAATCTTGGAAGTTTACTAGTGCTGGCTTATTTGCTCATTAATAACAAAAGGTTGAAGGTTAAGAAAGTTAGTTATTTTTTGGATGTAAGATAGGGAGGGCAAAATAAAAAATAATTGGTGCTTTCCTTGGTTTAAACTTTAGTTGGATAAATTTTATGATCTTATTTAATTTTTGAAATTATTTTTATTAATTACATTATTATATCAATTATAATTTAATTATTATCTAAAGGACCTAAGTTGTTTGGTGATATTGATCAAGTGTCAGGAGAAAAACTTTAAAGATCATATGACTATTTCTCTTCCTTCCTTCCTTTCTTTATTTATTGAACTTTGTAATAATCTTGTAATATGTGGATATAAAGATAGTACAATATTCGCTTGTTGTGATGTTAACAGATAAAAACAATATCTCAATTTGTTTGGTAGCCGAAAAATTTTGGTGAAATTAACGAATGCACAAAACTTTACTTCACTATCACCATAAATAATCATCATCATTATCATCATATATTGAATGGTTTAAATATTTTGTTTATTTTCTTTAAAAACAAATGCAAAAAAAAAACTCCAGATTGTTTGCAATAATGCCAGAATTGTACAAGAAAATGATTCTCGTGAGACAAAACTTCCAAAAAATATACAGCCACAATAATTATTATGTTTTATTTTATTTTATTCTTAGATAATATTATTAAAAACATTAATTCGTGATCCGTGATAGAAGTAAACAAAATGTCGATCTTTTAATAATAAATCATGGGGTTAATATTAATTAATAAAAATTCGTCTCCTCCAAATCTCAAACTTCCACCTTGCAACTCATGACAAAACGTAACAAAACAAAAGCAACTCTTCTTTCTTGTGGTTCTCTTATTCCTAACTTGCATTACGGGCCATTTTCACGAGATTGGTGGTATACTACCACAATTGAAAATGAAGTTCTGTTGGTTCCGATTCGTTTGGGAATGACTATTACCACCACTCTTAACGAGCAAAAGTTTATTCTACACGTTGTTCAAGGTCACTCAAGACACTCACAACAGCCTGGTTATTGTTGTCAAGCTGGAGTACTGTCTAGTAATGTTGAAGAATCTTGTAGTGCTGCATTAACTTTTTTATATCAACGTATTTTTCAAACTAAAACAAAAGTTTCAGGACCACAAGAGTTAGGTTTTGACGATGAAAAAACAGTGAACTAATTGTTGGATGGAATTTTATTTCAACCATTTTATATTTTGGTTGATAAATTTCGAATTTTTGTATATTCATTAGGCAAGCAAGACTTTGCATCATCATTCATATATTCATATTGCAAAAAAAGAAGTTTATTTGTACAAACAATGAAAAAAACATTTTGTAAAATTGAAATATATTATGAAACGACACTTGTGGCTATGTTTAAAGGAGATAACCTATAGATGTTTGGAAAAAAATGGGTATTCTGCAAAAGTAGATGGTTTTGTACTCTTTGGTTTAAAGGATGATTATACCAAAAAGAGATTAGAATCAAGTGAATTACTGACATGCCGACCCACCGATTGGACAAATGATGAGATAATGAATGCATTATACCCATATTATTTGAAAAAGCGTACATTAGCAAATATTAATTGGCAAAGTATATTTTTACAATGGGTTAAAAAAGGAAGTGGAATTATAGAAATTTGGTCAGTTCTTCAAAAAATTTATCCCGAGAATCATATATTTAATGAACGAGAAAGGAGAGCATGGCAAGCATTTCTCAGAGCTGCAGGATGTACCAATATTACACCATTCGGAATTGACAAATCTAAGGTAATATATTTTATAATTTTGAAAATTATTCATTTATTAAAAGAATTTTATAATGATTGCTAAATATATTTTTTTATTTAGTATGAATTTTGGATGAAAGAAATCAATCCTTTACATTATCAAGAAATATTATATACTCTATCTGAGCATGGATTCTTACGAACAACACCATTTGTTGACTCATCTAAACCATGTAATAATTTTACAGAACGATTAGCTGATTGTTTAATAGAATCATATGAAGCAAATAAAAAGGTGTTGAAGGCAAAAGAAGAATTTTGTCCATTGTTGCCGATAAATTTTCATTAAAAGAACCGAAATTAATGAAGGTAAAAAAAGAAAACAAAAAATGTAAAATTATTATAATAATTACCTTCTATAACAGTTTCAGATGTCACTCGAACTATTCAAGAGGCAAGAAAGTTTGCACGTATTAATGAACCGGGTTGTTCTATAATTGAAAAACCAGTTTTTCATCGTACACGATTTTCTGAAGAAGCAAAAAATCAATTTGAAATTTTTTTTTCAGATAAATCCATCGTTAATATGAGTTCATATAAAGTTGATCCACAAACCAAATTACCAGTACTTTATCTAAAAGATAGTAAAACAGCTTTATTGGAAAAATTTTCAGAAACCTATTCAGGTGGTTTTAAACGAACAACATTTATGACAGAATTGGCACAAGGACGTTTTCAGTATCATGAAGATCTTGATGGTCTGTGCTCTATATGTTGTCAATATGGATATAATGTATTGAAGATTTACTTGAATTAATTTCCGTACAAATAAAAGATCTCAAATATCAGGTGATGAAAAATATACCTTTGTATCATTTTTTTTTGAAAAAAAAAATCAATTTAATAATATTTCTATTTGTAAAGTCTATTTTGATTGATAAGGTTGAAAAGATTAGAAAACATATGAAACGTGATTATGAAAAAGAAATATCAATAAATACCAATGGACAAGTAAATCATGATCCCTGTATTTCGCACTGTCTAGCATATGCTTTTGGCATTTGCGAAAATATACATGTTAGCATTTGTGAAAAATGTAACGAATTATGGATGCTTTTTAGACAATTACAATTTGATCTTGATGAGTCATGTTCTGTAATGTTAAATGAAGCTCGTGATAAGTTATGTTATTATCTTTCTCATCAAACACGCAAAGTTTATTTAAACTCACAATTTTCTATTAGTCTTCAAGAACTTGATGAAAATGGAACATTGATAGTTGTAGATTACAAGATGCGAGTTCTTCCCAAATCTGCAAGAGAAACAAAAATGAGTTTTTTGGCAAGCGAGGATGGACTCTCCATACAGTACTAGTGTATACAAAGAAAGAAAATAATAAATTAGATATTTGTGCTTTTGATCATTGGTCAAATGACACTTGTCAAAATTCATGGTTCACAGCTTCATCACTCCATTCAACAATAATTACTCTTGAAAAAAAATCCAAATGGATTTCAATTATTTCAGATAATGGAGGTCATTATCATAACTCAGAGTTGATGGTTATTTTGAGCTATTGGTATGAATGGTATAATGTTGAAGTTAAGAAATGGATATTTTTAGAACCTGGAGAAGCAAAAACCACAATTGATTCTCACCATGCCCAGGTAATTCTAATTTTTTTATTTATTTTCCAAGTATTTATTTTTATTTTTCTTGAATATTTATGATTCGGTTCTTTTTTTTTTAGATTGCACATGCAATCAAACATTTTGTTCGATTAGGAAATGATTTAACAAGTGGAGAAAAAATAGAGATAGCAATTGAGCACCTTCGTGGAACTTCAGTAGCACATTTAGAACCAAATAGAAATACGTGAAATCAAGTTAAAACATTGACGGGAATTTCTGAATGGTATTTTTGGCAATGGCCAAGTGAAGGAATTTACAGTGGATATATACAAGCACGTACATTACCTAATGTAGGAAAATGGATTAGTTTTTCACCAGCACAAATAAATTGTTTAGTCAAACAAAAAATTAATAAACCCGAACCAACTTGTACACCACATTCTACACCTAAAGTATTGTGGAATATTCCAATTCCAGATTCTTCAAGTATTGTATTCAATATTATATATTGTTTTTTTTATTTTGGTATAAATAATATAAACTATTATATTAAATACAATTATTAGTACATTTGAATCCCAAACGTATGCGATTATCTGAAATTCAAAATGAACTAATACAGAGAGATGTGTTGTTTGAAGGCAATCAAAATCGAACAGAATTATCAATACTTTTACAAAAAAACTTGGATGAAAAAAGAAATGCAGGTAGTTTTCGAAATCTTTGTATATTTATTGTTAAAAATTATTATTCTTGTTATGATTATTACAATAAAAAAAAGGTTGATTTGACGTTCTGTTTTATCCAACACTAAATGCAGTGAAATTACCTTCTATCTATTTATAGATCCTTCGTCATCACAAAATAATACTTTTAATTTGTTGGATGTATTAAATTCTTCATATTCAACGTAAGTAAGAAAGTGTTTTTTTATTGCTTTTAGTGAAATCTAAATAATAATTTTTTATTTATTTTTTTGCATTTCAAGTATTATTGAAGAACAGTATCCTTTGCCAAATGGATGGGCCATAAAAGGAAAACAAAAAATATGGAAAAAAAGGAAGTGGAACACGTATTACAAAGGATGTAGTGGATTTGTTAAAAGGATTTTTCATGCTGGAAATGTTGACTCTAGTCAACGTTATCTTCCGGAGGATATGTTTCGTGCATTAAATGAAAAAGCTGATAATAATGAATTAGAACGTACAAAAATACCTAAAATAGAGACAATACGCAACTGGATATCCCGATATTCAACTGCTATGAAGAAAGAAATGGCAGAAAGAATGCTTAGTAATAATAATATAGTTTAGTTTTTTTGCTCATCTTATTGAATAAACTTACTATATATAAAATTCGTTTTGAAATTTATACAAATTACAATTTTTATAATGAAATTTGTTTCAATTTAAATTGCAAAAAGTGTTGACCAGAACTAAGACCTTATTTGACCAGCACTAAGACTACATTTGGCCCGAGTTAAATTTTGGAGTTAAAAATAAAAGAGTAAAATCTACATTCGCCCTATAGTAAAGTCAAGAATTATCAAGAAAAGAACGAACATTATTATAATAAATTTAAAGTTAGGTCATATGAGTGCTAATTTGTAGTTACAGTTTGATATTACAATGCTTACAAAAGAACAAATTATTAAAAGAAATAAAAACTTTTTGGATAAAAAAAAATAGTTATTCAAAGTTTACTAAATAAAGAAAGACCAAGAATAGTAACAGATAGTTTAACCAGAATAACCAA